CAAGATTAAGGTTCAGGTAAAGCACAAGAAACATTAATTAAAAGGAAATAGAGTCAATAAGATAGTCAGCGAATCATAATAATTATTATAATTAAATAAGGTCACAATTATTATTATTATTATTATTATTATTATTATTCAAATTTTAAAAAGTAACTTGACAGCTTTAAAAGAGCCGGTTTAGACATACTTAACAACCACTTCTTTACCAGATACCTTAAAGAGAACATTGTAGATGTCTTTAAAAGTTTGTCCTTTTGGTCGCCAGTCGAATACATAAGTAGCTGCTTCAAATTGAAGAGAATCAGTCTTTGCAGATGCAAACGTTTCCTTCAAATTAAGACTATCAAAAATAGAGACACAAGACTTATCTAGGTATTCCTTATAGCGTTCAATGCTTTCTAAAGCTTCTACAATATCTATTTCTTCAACTACAAACTCTAACATTTCAATATCTACTAATGAACAGCACTCTTCTTCAATCAGATTTAATATAGAATCGTATGTTGCACATACGACTAATTTTGATGCTAGATCAGTCCTGCGTACTTTGACAAGAGTTTTCAAGATGCCAAAATCAGGACTCTGTTTCACTATAGCAGCTTGAACTTTATACATCATTCTTGCATAAGATTTTCTTATTGATTCAATTTGTTTAGTGATACTTTTTCCAACTGGAATTTCAACTAGATCTATTACACATAATTTATTGGATTAAAAAGAATGGCTTACTTGTAGGTGTGATTGCACTGCTACTTGCATCCTCTATGAAAATGATGAGAAAGCATTAGATTACTTTTAATTAATCCAAACCCACCATGTTTCTCATCACTTAAGGATTCTTTAAACACTTCATTGTCATAATCTCTAAGTAACCGCTGTCCATCATATTGATAATGAGGACTTTTACATAGAATAGAAGCATATATTTGAAGAGCTTTTCCATTCACTTTAATAGCTTCTCTAAGAGCAGAAATCAGGGCATTGCTTTGAGCAAAGCCATCCATTGACTTCATGCTTGATGCTAATTCTTCTGATATTACTTGCTTTTCCTGAAGTACTGCTACTACATCCATAAAATTTTCAGAAAGATCGATAGATCTGCACTGGTTCTCGAAAATAGCCAGAAAAGGACGCTCTGCAGTAGACTAAATAAAACGACAGCTTATTGATAAAAACTCACTCTCTCTATCTAAATTGGTAGCTACATTGAAAAGTCCCATAGATCTTAGAGAATCTGACAATGAATCCCAGGTAGCTCCTCCTCTCCTATCAACATCATCAGCTCTACGTAGCCATTTAGACAAGCAATCAAGCAGACATTCAGATGCAGTAGAATTATTAGAGCGAATGACATCCAATGTCCCTTTTTGTAGTCCTAGTCTCAAACCAAGATCAAACCACTTGTCGGGCTTGAGTTGACATTTATTTACTAGCAAATCATGAATATCAATGTCATCTGTTGGTGCAATAACTTGTGAAAAATATAGTTTCATTGTTAACAGTATACCTGAGGGCTGTAACACTTTCTTCAACATTTTTTTTCTTTTTTCCTCCAACACTATAAACTACATTCACTTTATGAAACAATTAACATCAGCTTACGTCTCTTTAACTCTTTCAGTTCTGCAGCTTGGGATGATATTCTCTCCTCACACTCAGCTAAAGACCTCTTTAGATCTAGTAAAAAGTACATGCATGGCATGACACATACATACATGTACATATACATACATGTACATATACAATGTATGTACATGTATGTGTATTAGATTTAGTGTTCCAATTCAATTGTTCATTGTTCAATTGTCTGTTTACTCTAAATGTAAGCAACAACAATGATACCTGATTCAGATTTTGATAAACGCTCATTGTCCATTAAAACAGCACTCAATTGTTTTTTCCTAGTTGCTTGTAACTCGATGAGCTCAGATTCCGAAGCTGCACACACACAGTTATTAATTAATTAATAAAACCAAAAATTATAATATTATACTTGATATTTCTGTTGATTCAATGTGCTCTTCAGTAAATTTACATAAAAATGTAAAACCAACAATTACTAACTAATAAATACCTGTTTTCAAAAATTGTTGCAAACTTTCCGTCCTTAGTAACTCTATACAAATGATAAACACATGATAATTATATCTATTATACAGGCAGGTTCTCATGCAGGAATGGTCAGGGGCAACGACTCTAACAAATGAACAACCAGTTTTGCAGTTCATTAGTTACTCTTACTTAGACCAACCATGAAATTAATATTAATAACCATAACATGCTAATATTCTATTTTTGGTCATCTAGTATTGTATACATAAATTAAAAATGTCTGGTCACCTCATATTTTTAGGCAAAACCCTGATCATTATTTTAGGTACTGAAAATTTAATTTAAAAAATTTTAGTGCAAAACCCTCAATGTTTGTCACACATTGTATAGTGTGTACATATTGGTTGTATGTGTAAACTAAAATTTTGCAGTGAAATATTTTCATTAATACAATATTTATTATTATACATACATGTCATTATACCTTCGTTCATGCTAAATTGAAAATTTTCTTCAACACTTTTTATCTCCTGAAAGTAATGATGAACTAGTAAAAATTTAAACTACTTTTTACTTACTTTTTCTTTATTTCTATCATATAGAGTGTAGTGGCCAATAGTTAACTGAATTAAATCAAATTCTTTCAGTAATGTGGGAAGATTAGCTTGGGCTTCTAAGAACAAAGCATTCATCAGGTACAGTGGAGCATAGCAGATGATGAGGATCGAGTTGGCCTTTTCAATAGTTTGAACAACAACTTCATTAGCCAAATCATCAAATGCTCTTTCCAGTAACAGACGGATATCCTCCAGTAAATGATCTGATGGCTCCCAGTCAAGAAGAAACCCAATCTTTTCACAAGTTAGAGAACTGTTTGAGGCTAACACAAGCTTTTTGCTCAAAGTAAATGCAAGCTTCATTTCATTTGAAAACTTCTTGATTTCTTCTTTGTATCCTGAGACAAGGGATATTCCATCCTCTAGATCATAGCGATTAGCAATAGTCTCCATTGCTGCTACATTGACAATATTGCATTTCTTTTCTATGATTTTTAAGAGACCGTTAAAGGATCTGGTCCGTTGTAATTGAGATTTCAGCTCTGGGTCAAAACGCTCCAAGAATCGCTTCAATTCTTCTAATTTTGTTTTCTCTGATAATATAGACCTCATTTTTTCTAAAAAAACACAAAACTTTCCTCTCATTGCTTCGAAACTGCATTCATGAGCAGCTCTATTGACACGAATTTCTTTCTCTGAAATAAAAACAAAAAAATATTTAAATTAATTGAAACTAATTTAGAAACATCTACCTTGTAACTGTGGTTGTGTTGAATCATCATTATTCTGAACAGTAGTCAAGTATATACTACATAAAACAAAATAATAAAACGATACTGTAATACCATATACGCCATATATTTCACAGGTATAAAATTTCGTGATTTAGCTGCATTTTTGTATTTGCGAATAAAAATTTCGTGATTTTGTTGTAATTATGACACCTACTATACAATCAACATGCTGCTATTTTGTGAATTTTAATCTCATAAATTTTTTCAAAATGAGAAAATCGCAAAATTTAATCCCCGCAAAATATATGGTGTATACGGTATAAAGTACATCATTTTAAATGAAATATTAAAACAATAAAACATATACATGTACTTGCTATAATCTTCAAATATTTCTTGGCCTATAGAAGCTGTTATTTCAAATTTTAGAAACACACCAGCCAGTGCTCTCAACTTTTCATGATCTTCAGCTACTGTCACGCAAACAGCTCTTAATGGCTCACCGACAAGCAAACTTCCACCCTGTATTTTATCAAACTGCATCTTTTTTGATAC